ATGTAAACACTTTGTTCTAGCACTCCTGATGATTATCTTTCGATTGCTTTGCCGAGCAGCCCTGTGGCTCATCTACAGCCCGACTTCTGTCAAGAAAACCGGCAGCGCCTGCCAAAGTGACACTCAACAGCCGAGCCCGCCTGAGTGCTGTTTGATAGTCATATCCACCCGATCGACCTGAGATCGAGATGGCGAGCGGGAGTAATATCGAAACTAGGTGGAACAAACATTATATACCCAACGTTTTTTTTTTTTTTTTTTTTTTTTTTTTTTTTTTTTTTTTTTTTTTTTTTTTTTTTTTTTTTTTTTTTTTTTTTTTTTTTGTTTTTTTTTTTTTTTTTTTTTTTTTTTTGTCTCTCTCCTTCTTCATTATTTTAATATATATATATTATATAATATTATATATATATATTATATATATATATATATTATTATATATTACAACATATTATTTTTGTGTTTGTGTGTGGGATGGGGTGGGGTGGGGGGTTTATATATATATATATATATATCACTACATATATGTGTATATATACGTATATGTATATTTATATATGTATACATACATATATATATATTATATATATATATATATATATATATATATATATGTATAAAGACATGTATATATGCATGTATGTATGTATATATACATGTATATAATTTATTTTGAGAATCTGATTCTGAACCGACCGAACATGTGAACAACTTTCGTCGGCATTTTTCGAGCCAGCTAGCCCGCCAGCGCGCCCGAATTACTCTTAAGCTTTGCCGCTTCGCTGTTAGGGGACCTCTACGAGTCAATATCGGTGTTCAAAACGACTGGTCATATCTTTCACAGTCTTCAAAAAACCGACCCAAAGTTTCCACGTTGTTCGACCTGGCCGGCTCGGTCAACTAGCTCCACCCCGCGCCAGAATTCTCTAGCCAATCGATGCCGAAGGGCTCTACGAGGTACCATCAGAACACGTGCAGGAACGGTCTTCCTATAACATCGCACAAAAACTGGGAGCCGGCGGTGAGCCGTCAACCAGGTCACCGCTGGGACCCTCGTAGAGTTCTTAACACGCACATTAGTGCCCAGATTGCGAGGATAAAGCTTCTTCGAATATTAAGTTTAACTTTGCAGAATGTATTATTTGGGGTTTCATACAAAGTCATTTCCTCCACGTCTTTTGATAGTCATACTGCAGCTACGGACTGGAGAATTTGACAGGCAGACGCGGCATAACCCACTGGGAGCCGGCGGTGCACCGTCAACCTTGGTTACCGCCGGGAACTCGTAGAGCTTCTGTGCCACATATTTTATATATGAATGGCATGCGAGCGCGGCAATCTCGCATGCAGCGCGCGCGAGGGTGTGCGGTTTCAAAGAAATGTGCTTGACTGCTCCTTGCTTGTGCACACCTCGAGTTCAATGGAGACGAACAGCCAAGCTGAACATATGTTTCTAGAAGATATGTGAATCTTCAGACGCTCTCGTCACGTGTGGGGCATGCGAGCTTGGCAGCTGTTTGCGCAGCAGAAATAGTTCGTCGGTCGCAGCTCTGGTAGCAGACCGATCTCAGACGTCTCGATACTGCAGACTAGCGCTCGTGATCATTTGCATTCGAACACTGCTTCCCAGCTCCGTAGCTTGTCTACAGCTCGAATTAAGTAGAGAAGACCAACACCGCCTATTTGAAATTTGACGAGTGCCGATAGTTGTTTAGTCGCAGCTCTGGCAGCACGGTCTCAGCCGTCTAAATGCTTTAGCCTAACGCTTCTCAGAATTTCCTGTCGATTGGTGTATATCTGAGCTCCGTAGCTTGCTTACAGCTCGAAGTACATACAGAAAACACATATCATCTCTCACAACAAGTTGGAGAGTGCAAGAAGTTTGTCAGTTGTGGCTCTGGTAGCAGACCAATCTCATACGTTCGTCAGTGAACGCGACTGTGTCTGATGATTTCCAGTTGAAGGTGTGCTTCCCAGCTCCCTAGCTCGCCCACACCTCGAATTAAGTACAGAAAACCAGCACAACCTCTTATACAAATGGAATAGTGCAAATAATCATTTGGTCGCAGTTCTGGTAGCAGACCAGTCTCAGGCGTCTGGATACTTTAGACTGGTGTTCCTCGGCGTCTCCTGTCGATTAGTGTGCATGTCAGCTCCGTAGCTGGCCTACATATCGAATTGAATTGAGGAAGCGCACATCATCTCGCCCGGATCCAGGTCCACGGGGAGGGGGTAGGGGGAGGGGTAAACCCCTCCCCGAACGGGAAGAGGGAGGGGTGGAAGAGGAAAAGCCCTAAACCACCGACGCCCAGAGGGCTGGTGGGATTCGGAGGTCCAACCCAGGACCTGGACCCCAAAATCTGGAAACCGGAGTCCGGATATCCGAGTTCGGAGATCCCACCCAAAACCTGGAACCCGGAATCGGGAACCACGAATTTGGATATCCGAACTGAGAGGTCCAATCCAGAACCTGGTACCCGGAATCCGGAACCTGGAAGCCGGATATTCGAATTCGGAGGTCCAATCCGCAACCTGGAACCTGGAACCCGGAACCCGGAACCCGGATATCCGAACTCGGAGGTCCAATCTGGAATTTGGAGCCAAAAATCCGGAAACCAGAATCTGGATATCTGAACTCGGAGGTCCAATCCAGAACTTGGAACCCCGAACCCGGAACCCCGAATCCGGATATCCGAATTCGGGTGTTCAATTGGGAACCTGGAACCCAGAACCCGAACCCCGAATCCGGATATCCGAATTCGGAGGTCCAATTCGGGACCTGGAGTCTGGAATTCGGAACCTGGAATCGGGATATCCGAATTCGGAGGTCCAATCCGGAACCTGGAACCCCAAACGCGGAATCTGGATATCCGGCTTCGGAGATCCAATCCAGAACCTGCAACCCGGAACCAGGAACCTGGAAGCCAGATGTCCGAATTCGGAGGTCCAATCCGGAACCTGGAACCCAGAACCCGGAAGCCGGAACCCGGATATCCGAATTCAGATTTCAAGCTTCCGAATTCGATTTCCGAATTTGACCTTCCCAGCCTGATTCTCCAGATCGCCCCTGGAGAAGACTATTCTTACTCTGCAACCGTTCTTGCTAGACTGGAATATGTTGATTCAGAGAATCTCGGGCCATGCGTGTACGGTGTGCGACCAACCTGTGGATCCTCCCACCCCCAGATATCTGAACTTAGTTTACGGAGTAGTATGACGCAACGTTGATCCACCACTCAATATATCTTGCAACCATCTTTGCCCTGCGCTATGGTGGAACTTTTCTTTTCGACGATGGCCATAGCAAGTGGCTGGGAGCTCTACGAGGTCCCTGGTGGGAACCACTCGCTTCTTCCCGCCCCTGCCGCCCCGCCGAGGAGGAGGAGGAGGAGGAGGAGGAGGAGGAGGAGGAGGAGGAGGAGGAGTAGGAGGAGGTGGAGGAGGAGGAGGAGGAGGAGGAGGAGGAGGAGGAGGAGGAGGAGAGGAGGAAGGGGAGGAGGACGAGGAGGACCAGAGGCGTTGGCTCCGCGCCGCGCCGCCGCCCCCTGTCGGCTCGGCGGCAGCCGCCGGCCAGGGCAGGGGCCTGGCCGCCTTGGCTCCGCCGATGCCGCCGACGGAGGGCCCCGCGGCCGCGGCGGCCGCGCGCGGGCTGGCCGCGCGCCTCGTGGAGGCCGCGCGCGAGGGCGGGCCGCCTCCCCTCGGACGGGGCCAGGAGACCTCCAACGCAGGGGGAAAATCAAAACGGAGGTTATTCTAGATCTCCTCCTTGCCTCTGCCCTCCGCATGTGTCTGTCTCTGCACATCCTCCACGCGTTTCGTGGCCCCGCAGGGAGCTCCACCGAATGCCCCAGTGGCCCACGTGCATAGTCCCCCAGCCAGACGATGAGGCGGATGAGGAGGAGGAGGAGGAGGTGGAGGAGGAGGAGGAGGAGGAGGAGGAGTTTTATGAGGACGACGAGGGGATGAGGATGAGGAGGAGGAGCAGGAGGAGGAGGAGGATGAGGAGGAGGATCAAGAGGAGGAGGAGGAGGAGGAGGAGGAGGAGGAGGAGGAATCGGAGGAGTCGGAGTCGGAGTCGGAGTCGGAGTCGGAGTCGGAGTCGGAGTCGGAGTCGGAGTCGGAGTCGGTGTCGGAGTCGGAGTCGGAGTCGGAGTCGGAGTCGGAGTCGGAGTCGGAGTCGGAGTCGGAGTCGGAGTCGGAGTCGGAGGAGGAGGAGGAGGAGGAGGAGGGAGGAGGAGGCGCCACCGCACCCCTTTCGGCACCCCTCTCTCACGCCTCGTCAGCAGAGCGCGGGGCTTCGGAGCAGGCTCGGGAAGCCTTCCAAAGAGCTCTGCCTGGAAAGTGCCCGCCCCCGGTGCCTTCTCCCCCGGGGCGCGCCGCCGAGCTCCCCTCACGGGACGCCCTTTGGGCGTCACTGCCGCCTGTTCCCGCCTGTTCCCGCCCACTCTTCCTCCTCCCCCTCCTCTCCCTCTCCTTCTTCTTCTTCTTGTTCTTCTTCTTCTTGTTCTTCTTCTTCTTGTTCTTCTTCTTCTTACTCCTCCTGGTCTTCCTTCGTCCTTCTTTTTCTTATTATTTTTCTTGTTGTTGTTTGTCTTGTTGTTCTTCTTCTTGTTCTTCTTCTTCTTCTTCCTATAGCCAGATTTTTGGACAATGCCTCATTTGTTTCACTCAGTCGCCATCTGCGCAGCCTCGAGTCTGCCGACGAGTCCTTCTGGATGCATGGCCTTTTGCTTGCCCTCGGAGCCACAAGAACCATGTGGTGACGGACCTCGACGGACCGCGTGGTAACCTCGGACTCCCCGACGACCTCACCGCGCGGTCCGACACCGCACGGTCTTGGGACCTCGGAGACCCCCGGTCGCTCGAGATGTCCCCGAAGAGCGACTCGAGCCCCAAAGCCGCACGGTGGCCCCGAGTCTGCGCGTGCTCACCTCGCGGTGTGGTCACCACGCCATCCGGGGCCCCCCCCCGGTTCTCCGGCCTCTTCCGCTCCCCTCTGCGAGGCCGCCCGCGAGGGCTGCAGCGGGCTGGGCGCCGCGCGGGAGGGCGGGCCCCGCACCCCGGACGGGGGCGGCGGTGCCGCCGGCGGCGAGCTCGACCTGGAGTGCCCGCAGTGCAGCGGCGTCCTGTTCGAGGCCACCACCCTCGAGGACTTGAGAAAAGAGTAGGAGCACAACATTGAGAATCTCAACGTCACGGCTGGGAGGGTGAATAGAACGATATGGCCGCAAGAACGGTGATGACATTGCTGGTGATAAGAAGAAGACCAGGGAACGGCAGAATCACAACCTTTCGGAGGTCCGCGCGTTTTTTAAAGGGGGGATCAGCGCTGGAGTGGCGTGGATTTCTTGCATCGGCGCTGGAGCAGCGACCTGAGAGATTCGTGCGGACGCCCGACGGTGTTTGTGTGTGTGTGTGTGTGTGTGTGTGTGTGTGTAGGCTTTCCATCGCCAGCGCAGTGTCTCTGCCTAGCCACCGACGTAAACAAGCGTTTATAGGCTTAGCTCGCATCCGTTCGTCCGACATCGGCCACATCTGCCAGCGCAGTCACTCTGCCTGTCCGCTGACGCAAAAAGTGTGTGTGTGTGTGTGCACTGTGCTGTGCTTTTTATTGCTCCCCTCGAGGACGGCGACACGGTGTGCCGGCCCTGCGCCCGCCGGCGCCGCGAGGGCCTGGAGGAGGAGCCGGGCGGGGCGAGGGCAAGGCGAGCCCCGCTCCAGGGAGCGCCCCCGAGCGCTCTCGGAGCGCTCCAGACCGCTCGGGTTGAGGCCGCGGCGCGCCCGACACACGGCCCTCCGAGAGCCGCCGGATCTCCGAGCTTCTGGATCCATCCTCGGCCGAGCTCGTCCTCGCCTCGGCTCATGGTGTTCCCATCGTGCTCCAGGACCACACTCCAGGAAGGATTTTGAGCGCAATGGTCAGCATCGAGCCGGCGTCTGCCCGACACGCGGGCGCAGCGTCGAGCGAGCATCGCCTCCCCCCGCGCCCCGCACGTGACACCCCGCCGGCCTCGACGCCCCACTCGGTGCCCGACAGGCTTTCGGGTGATCCGGGCTGAGGTACTCAGGCTGGAACCTCTGAAGCCTTGGCCTCGCTTCGATAGGGGGCCACATGCGAACCCTACCCCTGCCCCCCACGATTTCTGAGGGCGAGGGTGGGGTTCACTTCGATCGGGAGCTTCCGAACAAAGTGAACCCCACCCTCCCCTTCAGAACTCGTAATTAGGGGGCAGGGGTAGGGTTCGCATGTGGCCCCCTATTCGAGGAGGAGCGGGCGCTCCCCGCGTGGGCCCCGCGGCGCGCCGCCGTGGGCTTCGGCGAGGGCATCAACGTGGTGCTCACGGAGCTGGCGCAGCACTTCGCCCCGAGGGCCCAGGCCGTGGCCGCCGCCCGCCAGCGCGCCAACGGCCTCTTCGGCGAGGGGCGGCTCGCGGAGGCCGAGGCGGCGTACTCGGCGGCCATGGCCGAGGCGCCCTGCGCCGACGCCGTGCTCCACTGCAACAGGTCCTCCGGCAGGGGCGAAGCGCCCCGGCCTGCCCCCACGCCCGCGTTTCGCTTCGCTTCGCTTCGCTTCGCTTGAGCTGTGGGGCGCTCGCCTGCGTGTGTGGCGTTTCGCTTCGCTCGTGCCGTGGGGCGCAGCTCGGTTGCGGCGCCGCCACCACGCGGGGCCCTGCGAGAGCTCGGCTTCTGCTGGCCGGCGACGGTTCTGCCAGCCCCACTGCGGAGTCTCGATGGCAGGCTTGGGCACGCAGTGGCTCACCAAAGGCGCCGCCGCCAGCAGAACGGACTCCGATTTTGCGATTTTGCACCCAGGGCATCTTGAGATGGCACAGTCGCTGCGTATGAATCCTGCGGCAGTAAAGAACTTCCCAGTCGGCCCACCAAGAAGATCGGCCACGCGCAGAGGGGGGGGAAGGACAAACTCAGAAGCAACCCGGCTTCTTAGAAGCGGCGGGCCTTGTCTGTAGATGCGAGGCCCGCGCCTTCTAAGAAGCAGCCTCCTCCTGAGAAGCCTTCCCCCCTCCCTGCACCCCTCTGCGCGCCGCCAAGAAGAGCATGATCTTCGAGCGTTTCTGGCCGCGCCTGTTTTTGTGCCAGGACGTCGGCTGAAGCTCTACGAGCCCTGTCGTGGTAGGTCTGTGTCCGCGGCGGGCCCGGGATGGGGGAGGCGAGGGGGGCCGGGCCTGCTCGGAAGGCGGCGCGGCTCCGCAGGGGGCCGGGAGAGCTCCTTGGAAGGCCGGAGGCCTCGTGAGCCCTCTGAGGAGGAGAAGGGGGAGGAGGAGGAGGGGGAGGAGGAGGAGGGGGAGCAGGAGAAGGAGGGGGAGGTGATGAGGTAAGGAGGAGGAGGAGGATGAGGATGAGGATGAGGAGGATGAGGAAGGAGGAGGGGAGGACGGGAGGAGGGAGGGAGGCATGGTTTAGGGAGGGAGGGAGGGAGGGAGGGAGGCAGGTAGGGAGGGAGGGAGGAGGAGGAGGAGGAGGAGGAGGAGGAGGAGGAGGAGGAGGAGGAGGAGGGGGGCCAGCCCTTTGTGCCTTCCTCCTGGGCACGCGGCCGAGTCTAGGAGTGCCGGGGCCGTGGGCCCCTGCTCAGAGGTCGGTGGCCCGCCTGAAGCTCGGCGACGCCGGGGGCGCGCGGGCCGACGCGCTGGCCGCGCTGGGCCTCCTCGCGCGGCGCGGCGCGGCGCCTGGCAGTTCCGCTGGCCCTGGGGGTTCGATGTGGGCGAAGGTCGGCCATGCGCAGGGGGGGGGCAGGGGGAGGGGGGAAGGCTTCTTGGAAACACCCCTACTTCTTAGAGGGCGCGGGCCTTCGCTCTCGAGGTAAGGCCCGCGCCTTCTGAGAAGCAGCCTCCCTCCAAGAAGCCTTCCGCCGCCTCCCATCCCCTTGTGCGCGCCGCCAAGAAGGCCTGGTTCCGCCTGGGGCAGGCGCTACTCGCAGCAGAGCCCCCAGAGGATGAGCTGCGCGTGACGAGCGTCCCTTCGCTGGAGTGGCCTTTGTTGCGCGGCCTTCGGGGGGCGCGCGGGGGCCGTACCCGAGCACGCCGGCCGCTGCGGCCGCATCGCACGCAGCGGGCGGCAAGCCGCGCACCAGAGGTCAGCCTTGCCCAGGGCCAGTCTTTTTGCGCGTAGCCGAGAGGAGGCCCGCGCCTGCTTCGCGCTCGCCCTCGCCTCGTGCGGGTCTGGGGCAGGCCCGCAGCATCGCACGCAGGAACCCCCCTCCCACAGGGCCATGGCCTCTCAGCCCCACCATCCCGCGGCCCAGTTGGGGACGGGCCCCTCGAAACCCGAAGGGAGCCGCCTGCATCCCCGTCCAGGGGGATGACTCGGCTGGTGGGGCCAAGGCCATGCCAGTGGGATAGGGGTCGGCTCAACGATGCTCAGGCCCCGAGCCCCGCGCCCGGCTCGCGGGGGCGGTGGGCAGGCTGCTGGCCGCGCCGGAGGCCGAGGACGCTCGGCCCGCGGAGGCGGTGGAGGGCTGGCTGCGGCGTGGCCACTGCCCGGGCCTCTGGCCTGCGGAGCACGCGCTGGCGCCTGGCGAGGCGGAGGGTGCCAGCGCGGCGTGCGGCGGCCTGCAGTTGGAGTTGCAGGGCTCGAGCGCTGACTCGGAGGGCACCAGTGATGCACCTGGGCGTACACCGATCCTGGCCAGGTCGATCCTGGGCCTCGAGTCGGTGTATATGCCCGCCTGTCGAAGCCAGGAGGGCGTGTGCACCGATCCTGGGCCCAGGATGGTCCTGACCAGGATCGGGATGTCTGTCTGTCTGTCTGTCTGTCTGTCTGTCTGTCTGTCTGTCTGTCTGTCTGTCTTTCTGTCTGTATGTACTTACGCACGTATGTATGTATGAGTGCAGATAAGTATGTACTGTGTGTATGTGTGTATGTATGTATGTATGTATGTATGTATGTATGTATGTATGTATGTATGTATGTATGCATGTGTGTGTATGTATGTATGTATGTATGTATGTATGTATGAATGTATGTATTGCATGCATGCATGTATGTATATATGTATATATGTATATCGCACAAAGATGTATGCGGGTATACCTATACTGTACATGCGTTTGTATACATACTCATATATATATATATGCACATGCATATGTATATATTCCCAATCACATGCTCTGCATATGCATATGCATGCGAACATGCGTATGCGTATGCGTCGTCGGATGTACATGTATATGTATACGTATATGGAGACGTATATATTGATATGCGTATCTGTTGATGTGTAGGTATATACGTATGTACATATATACGTACATGTATGTACATCGATATACATATTCGCATATCCACAGCAGTATTCGTATACACACATCGAGATGTATGTACACGTGTATACATGTGATGATTGAAACTGATTGTTAATACACGTGTACATGTATATGTATATATACATACATGTGTATAGGTATATTTGTTGGTTCAGGTATTTGTGCATGTGTACAGTTGTATATTTCATGGATGCGCCTTTGTTAATGTATCCGTGTAGGTATAGGTCCATGCGCATACCCATGTATACACATGTGGCTACATCTATGCAAATAGACATAGATGTATGCATATGTACACATTTAGGTATAAGCACATGTAAATGTATATGTGCACATTTTAAGTATAGGTGTACGCATAGGTATATGCACATATCTACGCATTTGTATTTGTATATGTCTCTGTGCACATAAGGATAACACAATATACGTACACATATAGGTAGGTGTATGTGTATGGTTAATTGTATTTGTATTTGTATATGTTCCCCAATCAGAGCTTGCCTCTGTAGGGGTCCTAGCGTATTCATATTTTTAGGTGAGGTGTGCCGCCGACTTCGGGGGCGGGCCTGGGTGCCCGGGTGCCCAGGTGCCCAGGTGCCCGGGTGCCCATGTGCTTTGTAGTCCTATAGCCCTAGAGCCCCAATGGCCTTAGAGCCTTATAGCCCTAGAGCCTTATAGCCGTATAGGCCTCTAGCCCTATAGCCCTATAGCCGTAAT